TCTTTTGATTATCGGAGACGCATTTCAATGGACTTGATTACGGACAATGCATAACTTAAATTTCACCAGGAAATTCCGCAGTGTGCTCTCGCAATCGCGTACTTAGTCATTTTTACAAGGTTCGCCATTTTTGATGTCACGTGGTAATTATGTAAACAATGTCTGTCCAGTTTGTGCGAACTTGCACCTCTATACTTAGTCTTTTGATATATATAACCTAAGTTACTGTTAACAATAACAATAAAATATTATATAAATAATTTGGTGTTATTTTGAGGCAGCTGGTAAATTGCTTTTCATGAAGTTCTCTCTTTTAGTGAAACAGTTGCTGATAAACTTGGCAATTGCTTGGACAGTTTCAGACTTTTTGTTATTGAGAAGTGCTTTCAGATGTAATAGTAATACATGTAATACTCAAATAGGAATGTATAATTAATTTAATTTCATTACAATTGTAATATTTAATGTATACGGGGGAAAAGACTATTCAACAATCTGAGACAAATTAAATAAAGGGTACAGTCTGGACTCGCTACCAGTTAACTTCATTGAAAACTATTGTGATTCTAGGAAGTGTGCCTATGAAGATCATGGCATCTTTATATGGGTTCAACGGTGGTAGGAGTTATGGGGATTTCAGACAATAGTGTGACTTTCGGCGTCTGCAAGTTTTTGGCCAGAAGTGATCTGGAATCTCTAAATCAACATTGTTTTGCGTTAGCAATCCTGACTTTCCTGATTACAAATAACAGCATATTGTTGCCACTTGTATAAGGTTTGGTCCCCCAAGTTTCTGATGACTACCCAGTTTGTGACTCTGTTCCCTAGACATCCCCAACACTTTTTATCCCACCACCTTTTGACTTTTTCATGCAATGACTTGATGACATCCCCGAACATGATTTTAAATTTATAGGGTGAATTCCTACAGGCTTTTCTGCCGACTCCTACCTCATTGGGAACATGGATGAGTCGGGTATGACTGCACAGTCGTCTAAAGAAATCAGTCTATGCAATGCATTAGCCAATCATGTACACCATAGACAAATTTAATAGACAAGTGACAACACTAACCTGACCCTATGAGTTATTCATGTATTCAGATACATGTTCTACTGTTTTAAGATGCAATATGGACGAGATCTTGTAATTTTTGCTTTTGTACTTACGCACATGCATCTTAGTGCGTTTGAAATACTGTTTTGTGTCCTGCAAAAGCATCATTTTCAGTTTATTATAAATCAAAATCACATTTGCTCTAACAGTATGAGGTACTAGGTATCAAAGAACAATTTTCACATATTGCATCTTTAAGAGTTATTTCTATTTAGAGAGCTTTAAAATTTCACTCTACCTTCTGACCCAACCAACTGTTTTTTAAGTATAATTTTCATCTTTTTGTTATTGTTTAGTATACTAGACATAATGAGGATGAATCAAGTGATTCTGAGGAGGAATATGTTCCATATGTACCATTGAAAGAAAGGAAGAAAGAAAAGGTTTGTAAAATCAGTCTCTGTTACAGGCAACATTTTACACCTCAATTCATGGGATTATGCATTTTTCAATTACACTACATGTATATAAGTCGTAGTTTTGTATTTCATTTATTTATATAAAAATGTGATATGAAGTAAAAATTTAGCTAATTTGATAGATATCCCCAGAAATGTTGCCAAAAGTAAGGTCCACTTCTGAGCATGATTGCAAGTGAAGAAACCATCCCAGTTCTTTCTTTTGAACGTTCAGTGTATGAAATGCGTGAATGTGATTAGCAAAGACTTTCTGTTGAACTTATCAAGTGCAAAAAATAAAGAGCAAAATAAGGTCTGTTTGAGGCATGTCATAATGATGTTTTTGTCTTTCTTCTGTTTTTTTGAATACCACTAGAGATGATCAAATGAATGCACACTTTAAGATACAAGAATGTTCATATATTTAAATTCTTTGGTGACAGAGACTGATTCGGTGTATTACTATATACTGTAGAATACGTTGAAATAGGCATGAATTAACAGAATCTTAATTTAGCTAAAGTGTCGACTATCTCCCTGTGAAAATATACTTTCTGTTAAATTAGCTGCATCTTGAATTATCAAAATTAAAGATTAGCTAAATTAGCTAAAATAACATGCTAGATAAAAAGACATGTTTTACAGTATATTCCAAGAACAACATTAGAGCCAACCATCTACGATTTTGATTTCCCTTAAATGATACATTATTTGACAGTGTTACATAAGCGAATTAGAATTTTAAAATATAATTGTGAATCAGGCATAAATAAATTTTAAATAAAAAAATTGTGGTCTACATTTGGCTATATTGCACAGTATGAAAAAGCACAGAAGGTACTAAAAAGGAAACTATTACAGCAGAAGGAAAATAAAGACAGTGAGCGAGAGGAGGAAGATGTTGAAGATGAAGTCTACACAGGACCACTTGCTAACGTCAGTCTATTAGATCAACATTCTGAGTTGAAAAAGAAAGCAGAAGGTATAATAAGATTTACATGTATATAATATCAAACGTGTCACTTAGGTCCTAGCCTGGAATCTAGCCATTCCGAGTGCCCTTCCCAGAGCACTCAAGAATAGTCTGGTGAATGGATATGTAAATACGTAGATGGTACAGAATTCTGTGTCACCACTGATTGGCTGCCTCCAAGACTTCACAACATTACCATGTGAACTCGCATGCACAGACTGACGTGCACTTAAAGCTCACCCACAGCCTTCCATTCCAGTATTGTTGTACAAGGATTCTGGTCTAGTACTAAGGCTCTCCATTATTGACCAGTACTGATCACCCGATAATTTTTACATGGTGGTTGATTAATTAATCTGTGAATAAGAATATGTCGCATTCAATCATTTCTCAGTTCAAGGGACAATTTGTCAACAGAAACTTGAAAATGGGAGAATAAAATAAAAATGTACTTGTTTGTTTTGATTTAAAGAAAAAATTTGAAAGTGTGAAACCCTAAACATGCAATTATCTGCCTTCATTTTGGCCTTTGTATACAGGTTCATTTCACCAAACCATTGCCAAATAGGGTCACAATCGACAGGTGGTTGTTATATACAGGTAACTTTACATGTAAATTACATTGCACTAGCCAGGAGGTGATCACTATTGGCAGGTAGTATTTATATAAAGTTGTCACTTGACTAAGAATATTATTGTCTGCACACATTGTTCTCATTTGATCTTTTTCACACACTGTACAACGTTCTATGATTACATTGGGTCTATTTTTAGTAATATCTTCAAATCATAACAAACACTATGGCAACAGTGTGCGGTTTGCTGTACTCTTCTACCTTTTGTCTCCTTGCATTGTAGTCAGCAAAGAAACTAAGTTAGATAAACAACTGGAAGAAGAAGAGAAGATTTTACAAAGTATACAAGAACAAAAAGCTTTAATGACAGTAAAAGAATTAGCTAAAGGTATAACTTACACTGAAGCCTTGGTAACCGGGTAAGCAGACATTAATTTCAACATCAATATTCACTTCCTTAAAACAATATCTGCATAATTTCAGGCAAGACGTATAAGAGGGAAACTTTATTGATTTGATATAAAATGAACCTTCGAAAAAAACACTAAAAGAATTTTGCATTATTATTTAGGTAGAAATACTCCCTAACTTTCTTTAAAAAAAGTAAAATTTCATGGCAAGGATATTAAGTTTCATAGTGACAACATTATACAGTATTACAATTTTGTATTCATCAGAGAATTTTTACTTTCAGATGGAAACCACCGAGATACATTTGTGAAATGTCTGAAGCACGCCATGAAAGGGTTCGTAAAAGATGGCATATCATGACGGAAGGTGATAATCCACCACCTCCAATCAAAACTTTTAAAGTGAGTCAGAAATTTACATTGAAACCATCTGCAAAGTTGCAGATACCATGATTAGTCCATACAAAACTTGATGTCCTCTCCCATAATGCATTGCGTATAAGCTCAGTATTCTGTTCCCACAATGCATTGCATATAAGTAGCAATGTGTTCAGTAGATGCAAAACTTGATTTGCTCTTCCATATCCCATTGCATAAGATGCAGCAACATGTTCAGTAGATGCAAAACTTGATTTCCTCTCCCATAATGCATTGCATATAGGCAGCAACATGTTCAGTAGATGCAAAACTTGATTTCCTCTCCCATAATGCATTGCATATAGGCAGCAACATGTTCAGTAGATGCAAAACTTGATTTCCTCTCCCATAGTACTATCAGCTACAGTAGATACTAACTTTTAACTTAATAGTATGTTTTTTTTTTCAGGAAATGAAATTTCCTCGAGGTGTTTTGAGTGGTTTGAAAAAAAAAGGTATCACACACCCGACACCCATACAAATCCAGGGCATCCCTGCTGTGTGAGTAACGATGTGTACATTCAATAATTATTTTAATCTACTTCCCCCTATAATGGTAATCAGTTTGCTGAAATAGGAACTATCGTCCAATTTCAATTACTGTATCATTTAATTATCGTACTGTAAAATACTTTATTTTCACTTGGAATTAATTTTCACTATTTTTGCTGAAGGAATGATTCAGTGAAAATAAATTCCAGTGAATATACCTTTCTTCCTATATTTTACATTCAACTCATCAAAAATCAGTGAAAATAAATTCCATACAAAACGCCCAAAATGTCTTTTCAGCAAAAATTAATTCTAGCTAAAATAAAGAATTTTACAGTAATCTATCATGAAAATGATTGATCCACTCCTAGCATGTGTCATGAATGTGTGATGAGTTATATGTCAAGCATAATGTTAACATTTCATGTTTACATAATTATGATTCATTGTATGTATTCATTATTTAAAATGATTGTGTTATACGTATCGATTTAAGATGGTATTACGGACTTTTCAAAAAAATTCAGATTATTATAATGCAGTGTTTATTTACCAATCAAATGCCATAGCCCATAATATACTAAATTGCAAGGTATATCCTCAAGATAATCTATCACATATAAATTTTATTTCTAAAAGTTAGTTTATGATAGTCCTAGGTAGCAAGTCATTGTAAATCATTCCTTAATTCCTGAATTCCTGACA